CGGGTCGAGCTTCGGATAATTTGCTCAAGAAATTTACTACAAATTCGAGGGATCAATACATTTTGATAGATATCATAAAATCATAGTTCCTTAATAACATAGAACGGGCTGTCTGTTTTTACTTAGCCTTGTGGTTATTGCAGACAACCTGTACCTTTTTTTCATTTATCTGTCTTGGTATATATACTATAAATAACTGTGTTTTTATACTATTTAGTTTTATTTATAAATCATCTATATTGTATATATATATATATAAAGAGCTGTAAATCCTATAAGAGAATGGTACAAAATAAAGTTGTTGTTGTTGTTGTTGTTGTTAAGGCAGAAAGCAAGGAATTATCGTGGCTTTGCTACCATTGATAACTGTAAAAAGTGTATGGCTTCAACAGTCAAAATACGTTGAGAGAACTGAGTTACCAAAAAGTCTTACATTTATAGCTGGCATTTAATTTCGAACATGAATGCTTTATTATGCCACTAGGATGACAGATAATTGATTTGAAGCCGAGATCTTTGCAGTGCAATATATATTTTTTATACTGTCCCGACACTATGCGAGGAGGCTCTCAGTAAAACACTGCATACGAGGGCTCTTTGTTTTGTTTTCCAAAATCCGCTCTTCTCTACCTAAATAATGGGAAGGCTTGAGACTTAGCACCCGATATCGACTACATCACGCTAGAAAATCCAAAACAATTCTCTCTCACTCCCCTTGAACCGCAATAAAAATGCAACATATCAAAGGAACGATAATTTCTCTATCATAACATGTATTCTGAATGCCACAACGCCAAATATTTCCAGAAAAATCCTGGCTTAAAGTCGAATATTTGATTTGTTCTACAGCGTGTGATCGATGGTGTTCAAACGGTCGTTGTAAAGCGTGAGCGGGTCACGTTACATACTGCATTACATACAACAAACCCAAGTCTGTCGGGGAAGGGGAATTTGTTTCGAGCTTGGTATCACGTTCGGCCAATCATTATTTAGGTAGAGAAGAGCGGATTTTGAAAAAAAAAACACTAAACGGCCTCAAATCGCGCTGAAACGTCGTCAGAAGACTGAACAAAGTAAATGCAACGACTGCAGCAAGTTTTGAGGCAAATTGTTGAGTGAAACATTTTATTGTCATAACTTTATCATAACTCCCATACATTCCCTTATAAACCATACACAGGAACCTTGTTTGGGCTGCCTGTGCATAAACTCGACATCACTTAATCAAGTTCATACCCATAAACACCTTGGAGTCACACTATCATCTGATTTATCTTGAAAAACACATGTACTAACAGTTGCTACTAAAGCGAGCAAAATGCTTGGTCTATTGAAGCGTACTTTTGGGAAATGTTCGGAGGCAATAATAACTGGCTATAAATCTATGGTTCGTCCAATCATTGAGTATGCGTGCCCTGTATGGAATCCACACTAACAATACCTATCTGATAAACTTGAAAGAATTCAAACGAATGTCTCAAGATGGATTTTAGGCAGTTCCATTGAGTACAATGAACGTTTGAAATACCTAGGATGGCCAAGTCTTCACTCTCGTCGTGACTTTCTTAGCTTAGTTCAATTATTTAAGTTTATATATGGCTTTTCTAAAGTCAAATTACAAGATTACTTAGTATTTTCTAAAGGTCGTACTAGGTCTACTCATGACCACAAAATTTGGACACCATATATATGCTCGAGCTAACATTTATAAATACTCCTTTTGGATTAGGTATATTAATATATGGAACGATCTGCCAGAACATTTAGTTCATTGTAATTCTCTTATTAAATTCAAGAAAGGTCTTAGAGATTATTTGTTCAAGGAGAAGCAGTAAATTTTTATCCTATTCATTTCCTTTCTTCGTAACTAGTATTAAATTATTTCCATATTTTTAGTTCCAATAACTTTTAACGATTTTATAATATATTTATATTTTATAGTTTTTAAATCCTTTTTATAATTTGTAAATTTTTTTTTCTTTTCTACCAGTGATTTCATTGTTATTAGTTAGTGGAGACCGCCAAGGTTCACGTTCTGGATATAAGGTCTCTCTTTTGCAGACCAATCCGAGTCGAAGACACTGTCAAGGGGGGGGGGGGGGGGGGGAAGGACATCTGTCAAGTGATAACGCCAGGTGTACTAAGGTGAGCTCAATGAGAACAGAAATCTCATGTAATACAAAAGGGTAAAAGCTCACTTGACTTTGGTTTTCGGTATGAATACAAACTGTGAAAGCATGGTCTATCAGTCCTTCAGTCTTTAGGAGTTTTAAGTTAGAGGTGTCAGAAAAGTTGGCACAGGGATAACTGGCTTGTGGCAGCGATTAACGTTCACAGCGACGTTGCTTTTTGATCCTACAAAGTCGGCTCTTCCTATCATTGCGAAGCAGAATTCGCCAAGTGTTGTATTGTTTATCCACTAATAGGAAACGTGAGCTGGGTTTAGACCGTCGTGAGGCAGGTTAGTTTTACCCTATTGATGAAGTGTTGCTGTAATAGTAATGCTGTTCAGTACGGGTGGAACCGCAGATTCAGACAATTGGCATTTGCATTTGACTGAACGCATCTAAGTCAAATTCCGTGCTAGAGTGCAACGATCTACCTCCAGAAGATTAGCAAACAATACCCGCCAAGGCACTAAAGGATATCAAAGTTTAAGATTTGTGGAGCTAAATCCTTTGCAGACCAAAGTTGTGGTTACGATCTTCTGAGATTAAATTGTTGTTTTTCACCCAACGCAACATACTCCTCCTTAAGAACACTTGGCATTTCTTGGCCTACCTTCGTCCTCTCGGGCGTCGTGAACCAGGCCCGGATCTTGCGTTCTCTTGGACGATTAACTTCTTTACCTTTTGATTATCACTACGTCAATTCCCAACATACACTCATGTCATTCAGGGTTAGTGTTAAAAAGGGGTAATACTATAACCGTGCTGAAAATGAATGCAGATATCGGAATTCGAATGTTGCACACCGATAGCACTATCCTACACAAAACATTGGAGTCATTGGTCAATGTTTTACAGCATTCCCCTTTTTAACCCTAACCCTAACCCTAACCCTAACCCTAACCCTCACTCTTGTTTAGGAATAAAGACTTTTTTGTGTTACTTTATTCATTTAGATTTAGATAGATTTAGATAGATTTTCATTGAAAATGTTATCGCAGCCCATGGGCTGAGTTACGTAATTATGTACAAACCATAAAAAATATATATAATGATAATAATATTGATGATAATTAAAAAACAATATTAATAATAATAATATAGTAGCAATATAAAATTGTAGCAATAATAATTCTAACAAATATTTATATATATTTTTTATATTTTATTTACGATTCCAAAGTCGACACCTTTTTAAAATTTTATTATAAAATAATTGGGATACTACGCGCACTATGATTGGTCGAAAACCATGTTTGATGAGAGTATCAAAACACGCAATCGTCATTTTTAATCTATCGCGCGCGCTCATTGGTCAGTTTGAATAAGACGGCACGTAGGGAGAATTTACTTAGACTTTGCTTTTTTTCGATCTTTTCGCGCGTTTGTTATTTTATAAAACAAATCAAAAACAGTTTTCTGTGTTTGATACTCTGATCAAAACACTTGGGATGTTGGGAGAACACTCGAGAAGCTGGAAACCACTCCGCTACGCGTCGTGGTTTCCTACGTTCCTCTCGTGTTCTCCCAACATCCCGCGTGTTTTGATCAGAGTATCAAACACGGAAAACTGTTTTTGATCTGTTAATGAAAATGCCTTCAATTATTAGCATTATCATGTGCGTAGCGAGCAAATTAAAATCTTTAATTCGCAAGCTTTACTTCACAAGGGTAGAAACATGGTCGTGTAGACAGATAGAAAGGGAGAATATGGTCAACTTTTCATTGTCAAGGAAAAACTATAAGGCTTGTCATGGATACGAAAGAAAGAAAATGTGACAAGGAATATTAATGAGTTTTAGTCCCAGTCTTTTCGCACGCTTTATTACATCGTCAATGACAAAAAGGGTGGCTAAATCACAAAGAAATTTGGTGATGATACAGATTATATATCTATTATTGGATTAATTTAAAAAATTTTTATTCAGCTTTTCAAATGTCGTCAATCTTAATCTAATTATAGGAATCCAAGAGAGCATAAATAAGAGGGGGAAAGAAACAGAAATAGTGCGCGTGCGCAAGTTGATGACGCTCGGGAGTAGAATAAGGCGAAATTCAATCTGCATCCAGTTACTAAAAATAGCCCAACCGGGGATTTACATGCGCACGCTTTATTTAAAAGTTTCCCTCTCTTATTTATGCTCTCTTGGTTAAGCTTGATAATCTCCAGCTAATTTTCTCTCTGTTGCTACCAAAGCATTTTATATTTTTTTATTTTCGATCATCGCGGTAAAAATACTTTTCATTTAACAAATAGATCAGGCTTAGCTATGTTCTGTTCTCTGATAAAACACGACTGGAGCTGTAGGACACGAAAAAAGTTATAGAAATCACGAGCCGTAGGCGAGTGATTTCTATAACTTTTTGAGTGTTCTACAGCTTCGGGAGTGTTTTATCTGAGAAACAGAACCGAGCTAGCCTGATCTATTCGCTTTATGTAATAAAGCGTATACCAGCTGGTTGTCTCCCCAGTCCTCCAGCTGATCCATCTTTGTAGGATACATCTCGAATGAAAAATAGTTGAAGATTTTTTTACCGATAATATTTTCACATTTCAGTTTTATCTAAATTGGGCTCCCTGTGTCCATTGTGAGCTTCGCTTAGTCAATGCCTAAATTCATATATTAAAAATTATTTTAAAAGCCAAGCCTTCATAATCTATAGACGCTAGATTCAAATAAAGAAATACTTCACCATTCAACTATTCCCTTTACTCGATTTACTCGCTTTGGAGTAAAAGCTCATGGCAGTAAGATACCGGAGGAGCTCTGGGTACGATACGGCCCATCGCCATGGATACCATATTTATATAAGCTGTTGACACATCGTACAATGACCTAAGCCTAATTATGAGAGATTAGAACATGAATCACAACATGGATGAAAATGGCGATAAAAGTGAAAACAATAAACCAGGAACTAAACTGCATCAAACCATCCCTTTAACTTCTGAACCACAATTTGATTTTTGGCACGTCAATGGTTACAAAAAGACGGTGAAACGAGTAGACGATGGAAGTAAACTATGCGATGATCTGACGAAGATGATAACTGAACGAGCGGATATCGAGAGTAACTACGCGAACAAATTGCAAGGTAAATATGTTTACAGATCGACTTAGGAGCTTAAAAGATTTCGCTGGATAATATATTCAGCAAAAGTATGATTCTCGAGCTAGTTTAGTTTTAATATACAGTCTGTAGTTTTTATAGCTAGTTTTATATTACGCTCACCATCTTCTTTAGGTAATCGCATAGAGCATGAAGTGAAATTCATTCCTTTAACCTTAATATCTTTTACTAGGAACCATGCGATTATTATTTTTTTATTTGCCCAAGTTATTAAATGAAGGGATACCGTTAAATTTGGAAAAATATATTGATAAATGTGAATATTCTTGGGGTGCAATGTACCTTCACATCCGCCATTTTGGTTGATAGACAAAAGATTTGGTCTTGGTATTATATGTCTTTTGTCATGTCAACCAACAAGACAGTCACGTCTTTTGTCATTTTATTCTCATGGGAAGAGATGCACGTCATTAACTAATTTTGTTCTTTTTTTCATCATTAATTTCTTTTTGTGGTTAATATCAATATCAATAGCGTTGGGGATTAGTGTGCTCTTAAAACCCAACCGGGGGGGGGGGGGGGGTTGGGAAAAGAGACCAGAATTTCAGAAACGAATGTTTCTCAAAAAATCCAAAAACAAGATACTTTATATCCATAAATCAGATAAATGTCATCAGAGATACCGAAAACTCAGATACCAATTGCTGGGTCTCAATCAGCTGAAAAATGTCTAGGAATCACAATTATCTACACCAAATGATGGTCAAACTGACCACCATGTGCCGTCAGTCAGAAAATCTCTGTTTACTTTACCAGCACATTTTCGTTTGATGAATCCAAGCTTGGTTTGCTTTGGATGTCATATACTTGACACTTTGAATCTCTGGATGCTTGATGCGTCTTTAAGCTATGAAGGTTCATACTTCCAATGTGCTAATGAGTGTGACGTCTATTAATTAAGGTATTTGAGTGTTTTGTCATATTTAGTAATACTAAATGCTGGCGATTTTGAAAACAAAACTTTTACAGTGCGACTACTCCAACCATAGCCACCTTGACAAATTTTCTACAAATTAGCCAATCAAAAGTAGGAATCTGAACAATAGAATTGCTACAAATCGGACAACTATCCATGGGTTTACACAGCTTAGAAGACTGCCGGCACCTTTGTTGTCGAATATAAATGTGCTGTCACATAGCAACATAGCGATAACATCTAACAGTGTCAGCCTGATATAATCTGTGTCTGGAAGAACAAACTGTAATCATAAAAACTGTGTTTTATACTGTCTCTAATTTGCTTTCCTGTCGTATTTGAAGTCGTACATTACTATTTTTCTATATCTTTGGTGACACAAATTACTAATTTGCGAAGAAAATATATTACAAGCTCTTCTTCATCATTTAGTTTTACCAACCGGAACAACGGAAGAATATTTAGATTCAAAATTTGCCGCTAATCTATTGTCTAAATATACTCAAACACTATTGGATAATTTGTGGAAAATTTGTCGAGGTGGCTTTGCATTGGTTGGAGTAGTCGCACTGTAAATAGCTTTCATGTAAACCATGAGTAAAATAATGATGCTTTTTAAATACTGTATCAATGAACCAGTTCGATTTTGTACATTTAATTAAGCCTTAATAGACGTCACACTCATTAGTATATTGGAAGTATAAACCTTCATAACTTACGTAAAGACGCATCACATAAATCAAGAAATATCTTACCATTCAACTATTTACTTCATTTAGAATCAGTAGTAAAAGTATTGTCAAAGGGTTCATGTGCACTTTAAAACGTGTGATTCAGCTGATGAACCTTCCACATAGACTGAGAAAAATGAGGTCAAGTTAAACCCAGCAATTACCATTTCCCGAAAACCATGTCCAGGACCATAAGCAATTAATGCAAGCTTAAGCAAGACCATCCAAAAATAATTGTGCATGGATTAGTTACTTAATAATTTATTTTATTTTATTCATTTATTTATTTAATATTAAGATATTCTGCAATACTCTGCAAGTTCTCAATTATTGCTCAGTGCATAGAATCTTCAGCACTGTAAAAAAAATTGTGGAATTCTAAAGCAATATCGCATTGTTCATTTGTATACTTTTCTCACCTCATTACCATGGGCTGCCTTAATGAAGGTAAAGAATATATTACATGGTATCAAGCAATAGCAAATTGGGCAATTGAAAACTTTAAATAGAAGTATTCTGGGGTTCACAAAAAGAATAGGTTTGTAAAAGGAGATGTAGCAAAAGCTCAAAATTCACATACTAGCCAAACCATTGAACATCCAGTCTGCATATAATCCATTTTACAGTTCCATTCATTGACCACGAATAATAGTTCCAAGTCGTGGTTGGAGTTGCCGAGCATAATAAACAATAGTTTTGCTATGCGCAGCAATTCCAACCTTAAATAGAACTACGTCATGTATTATTCATGGTCACTGGAGGAGAATGGTCCCTTAGGTGTTTTGAAAATAGGAAAACATTACACTAGAAATAAGGGTTCTTTGATGTAGAAGCAAGCAAATGGACTTGCATGTGCATCTGTTAAGGACCATTTATTACTTTTTCAATTTTTAATTTAGAATCGCAAGAATTTTTAGGTTCATAAAGTGGTGCTACCTGAAAGGTATCATTTTAAACAGAATCCACGTGGACCCCAACTTATAAATTATGAATAGTCTCTAGTTTAATTGCTGTTAGAATTGCTTTTGAAATAAATATTGAGCATGCTTGTATATAACTATCTAAGATAAACATATGGTAACCAGATAGAGGGCTAGACGGATAGGTGGCATGATGGTTGTGGGCTAGACGGATAGGGGGCATGATGGTTGGGAGCTAGACAGATAGGTAGCATGATGGTTAGGGGCTAGACGGATAGGGGGCATGATGGTTGGGGGCTAGACAGATAGGGGGCATGATGGTTAGGGGCTAGACGGATAGGGGGCATGATGGTTGAGGGCTAGATGGAGAGGGGGCATGATGGTTGGGGGCTAGATGGATAGGGGGCATGATGGTTGGGGGCTAGATGG